TTCTCTATATTATCTTCTTTATAATAATCTATATTTTTTGAATCTTATTAGAGCAGTTACTCCTGACCTAAAAAATATTAAATATACACCTAAATTTTATTATAATAATAATTCATTATTATCTTATCTAAAAAATAATCACATTAAACAATTGTATAATATTCTTTATAATGAGAATTCATCATCAAAAGAATTTTGGGCAGAATTTTCCAAAAAAGCTGCTAAAGGCATATTTGAGCAAAAGCTAGTTTTTAAGGGACTGTGTTATATAATATTATAAGCTACAGAACATGAAAACCAAGATAAAAGTTTACAAAACCTCAAATATTCAAATGAACTTTTAAATTTTCTTGTAATTTTGGGAAGAATCAGTTTAAAAGCATTGGATTTATTTCGGCAGAATTTGGCAGATATAACTATTTGAACAATAAGGTAATTATAATTTAATATATACCAATTAACTATTAACAAGCTAATAATTTTTTGCAACAATATTATTTAATTTAAAAATTAAATATATGTTATTATAGAAAATTATTGACTAGTATACTTATATTTAAAAATAATTTTATTATTTATAGGCATCATAGAAGAATTTCGGATAATATGATCAATAATCCTAATCTTTGCTATGAAAATATTGCTCATTTTAAGAGGCTTTTAGATACATTACACTATAAGGGTCCTGTTGTAGCTATGACTAATTATACAAAAATAAAAGCTGGGTTACAGTATTCTTCAAGTTTGGGTTGTATTGTTGGATCAACCTTAAATTAAAATTATTGTAAGGTTAAAACTTATGATAATATATATAATAAGATTTCTGATATAAAGCAAGAAAACGCAGTTGCAAAATATGTTAGAGCTTATATTCTTCAGATAATAGTCAATAATTAATTTAAATTTTATTATAATATTTTATTTAAATTGATTTTTTAAATTACTAGGTGCCTCTTTTAAAATTTCTACTAATAATTATAGCATTAATTCCAACTGAAAGTGATGGTAGTGAAAAAATTTTAGCACTTCATCAAAAGCTTATAAACATTGCAGCAAATTTGAAATTACACATAATATCTATTGAGTCAGATAGTGCTGCTGCTGAATTCCAAGCACAGAATTTATTACAAGCATCTAGAACAAAATATTGGGTTCAACAATAAAATTCTCAATTTGGTATTAATTTTAACTGTCTAATATTTCCCAAAGTTGGGCCTGTAATTCTGAAATATGAAAAAAAACAGCTGCTATGTCAGGTACTTATTTACTTATATTTGGAAATTCTACAATCTGTTTTGATCATTTGTTAGAATTATCTCTTAAAGAAGAAAACATTATATATAAGCAAGATGTAATTAGGTTGGATCATCAAAATGATAATACTGCATATGGGATATTTTGTTCAAGCAATTTGGCTTAAGTGTTAGATGAAAAAAAGGCTTTATTATCTGAACTATGAGGTTTATTTATTTATCTTTTTACTATGGGTATATATTAATTTTAAGATTTTAATAATTTAAGTATATATGGGCTTGGTGCTGCGAAAAAGAACGAAATTGACAAAAACAAAGATCTTCAGAAAATCAATTTTTATGTTGTAAATCTTATAATAAATAATATGAAAATATAAACTTTAAGAAGCTATATTGCAAAATTTTATTAACACAACTACTTTTGTGTCTTAAGTGAAAAATGAT